CCCCGCTGCCGATAAAATTGCCGTTGCCATCGCCTCGTCTACGTCCGCGATATTTGCCGGCGCGGGGCGGCCTGCAATTAACCCTCTCCGCGACGCGCAGACTCGAGGGCCCGCCCGCGGTTCGATCGCGGGCCGCGCCGAACTGGCTAGAAGGCGGTTGTCGAAATTAGTGACGCTCAGCGGCCTTACGGCCTCCGCCGCATGGTATTCAGCGCCATCGACTGGAATGCCAGCCGCGCGCTTGGGCCGAAACAGCAAGCTCAAGTTGAATTCGCCGCGTTCCCCCAGCGACGCCGCGGGCCCGCCCTCGACAGTCATGGCTTCGAACGCGTCGAAGAGGATATCGATTGCGAGATTTTCAATGCGACGCCATGCTAAACATGGCGCGCCATCCAGCCCAGGCGAAGATTTGTTCGAACCACGAATTGCGCGGCGCAGGCGGCGTCGACGAAGCCGGAGTACATGGCCTGGGAACGGCGCGACGTTCGCGAGCGGATCGCGGCCCAATTCGTCCGCTACCCGCTGGCCCAGCAAAGCCTCGCTCACGCCGCGCGCCCGGAATGCCTCGCGCCAGCGGTCGCGAAGCGCATCAGCCACGCCGCCGACGTCGGAACGGATTTCCCCGCGAATGTTCAAGACAGCCGGAACCGACCCAGATCGCCCAGGCACTAAGCGTGCCGCAGATGTGTGCCTCTTTGCATTCGGCTCTGCACCCGCCCCGGATCGTCGCCCTGCAGGTTCCCGCGTGCTCGGCCGAGCTCGACCAAGGCACGTTCGCGCGCTAAGTCGACCGCGCGTTCACGGACCCGGCGAAGCCTCACTTTGAGATGACCTGTGGCGTCACCAAGGTTGGCCACGTGCTCGGCTAAAGCCGGATACCGACGAAGACGCGCTGACACCTCACCAAACACGCCCTTTTCGGAAGCCCTCAAAAACTTCATGGTCACTCTGCCACCGCCGGCGCCGACGCTGCCTCGTCCAGCTCGCGGGGTACGATTTTCATTGAATCTTTCAACAGCTGCAGCCTGCGCAAAGGTGACGAGCCGGCTTTGTCCCTCAGCATTTACCCACGCTGCAAAACAGCCCTCCGAGGCCAATCCTCGCGCCGGACGGCGCGATCCGACAGCGGGCGCCCGTCGCCCACGTGGCGGCGCGGAGCGTGCCGCGCCAAAATCACGGCCCGATGGGGGAACAGGTCGACGCGCCACTCCCACGCTGCTGCCCGGAAATGCCGGTCAAGCTGCTCGGAGACGCGCCCGCTGCAATAATGCGATCCAAGCGCGAACGAGCGGCCGCCGAGGCGCGCGCCGCCGCGGGCTGGCGCGTGTCGCGCGAGCCGCGGGGCCCACCCGACACATGCTAGATGCGTTCCTCCCCCCTGCTGTCCCTCCCGCCAGAAACAGCGGCCGAGCCAAGCGAGAAGCGATCGCCTGGAAACGCGACGCAATTGAAGTCGCCTCCCAGAAACGTCAGCGCCGAGTCGCGCGGAGCAACGCTGCGCGCGAGGCGATCCCAGAGATGGCCACGAAGACAAGGACATGAGGAACACGATGTTAGGGCTGACGGTCGCACGCCGCAGAGCTCCGCCTCGCCTACCTCGGAGCCGGCTGGGAAGCATGCCGCGGTCAGGTCCACGGCGCCAGACTCCCCGCGAAGCCGGAGAGTGGCGACACGACCTGGCCAGAGAACCTCCCGCGTCGGGGAGCTGTTGAAGTTCGCCAAGAACGAGTTCTTGATCACGATGCCGGCTCCCGCGCGGCGCGCATCCCGCAGACCACCGCGCTGAGCTGCTGGAGGGAGGGCGCCGCGAGCGACCCCCCCCGTTCGCGCCGTGCGTTTCCGTGAGGAGGACGACGTCAGCTCGGCTAAGCAATGAGATCAAGTGCCTCGCTTTCGCCTCGTGGCGCGCCAGGTCAGCTGCGCAGAGGGCCTGAGCGCTCCACGCAACAACGGACAGGTCGCCTCGGAATTGCCCCAGTCTGCGACTGGGAGAAGCAGAAAAAGGTGCAGGAGAAGAGCGCGCTGGAAAAGGAAACGCACGCGCTGCAAACTCCCCGACAGCTCGGAGAAGACGCTGCCAGCGATAGATACTCAGCGGTACGTCTCGGCCCAGGAGGGTGCATATCCCTCAGAAGGATATCAGCGCCGTGGAAGCGGAAGGCAGGAAGAGAAGGCATAATACGAGCAAACTGAATAGCAGCATGCGCGGGATGAAAGCGATCTGGAACAGCCTCAGCAGCATGATAATGCTGAGAATGCTCAGAAGGGTGGCCTGCCAGACGGTCCAAGCGGCCAGCAGGCCCCGCAGCTGCGAGGTGGAGACGCAAGATGGCCTTGATGAGCCAGCCTCCAAAGCCCACGCAATCAATCGTACGGATTCCCATCCCCTGTGGTACCCAAGGGCGTGCGGCAGCCTCTCGAGGGGGCGGGGGCTGTCTGACCCCGCCTCCGCTGCGCGTTTCCCGGGAGCCGCGCCGCTTTGTACAGGTCGTTCGTGATCTCGATGGCGACGGTGTCCTGGCCCACCTGTATCGTCTGGCCGTGGAGGGCGTCGTGCACCCTGCTGAGTTCGTCAGCATATTCCAAGAGCACTCGCAGCATCCCAGGGGGAGCCGAAGGGTCCTGCGACGCGAGGTGGACGTAGGAGCCTGCACGGAGACCGCGAGCAAGATCGGCCTCGACATGAGCTATGCCGGTGGTGGAGCAGAAGTAGGTGAGCAGCAGCCTCAGCACCTCCCCATCCTCTTTCCCGGCTTCCCCTTTGATGGCTAGCTCGGTAATGCGATCGAAAGAAGAGCCTCGCTGGGCACCCCTGCGACACCTGGATGCCGAGAGCACAACCGCGGTGGCCGAGGGTGTGACCAGAGCCCGGCCTCCGCAGCGGGATGGTTTCCACTTCAACCGCACTGCCGCCGAATGCGGGTCAGAGGCAAGGACGGAGTCCATCTCGTGCTGCCAGAGGTGCACGGCGGCGTCGGTGCAGACCATAATCCCCCCTAACGCCAAGAAGAGAGTTTGCGAGCAGAAGGGCCAGAAAAGGTGAAAACTCTCAGGGGGAATCGCCTCCAGTATGTACGCGTCCGGGTCCTCGAACAAAACATTGAGGCCGTGGTATGTGTGCTGGGGCATGGCAGACCGCAGTCGGCGAAGAAGAAGTAGCTGATCGAGGATTGTGTAGTGGTTCGGGAACAGATCGTCGACGCAGAGCCACAAGATCCTTGTTGAGTTTCATGGACTCTTCCGCGGGTGACGACATACCGAGTCTGGAACACCCGTAACTTGCAGGAGACCCATGAAGGAAGGTAGGCAGTCGACTACCATGTCCACATATGCCTCAGGCACCGCCGCGATCTTCAGCAGAGGCGCCTTGAATTCGAACGGACCGTGGACCAGAGTGTGCGATCGTGAAGATCGCAAGCCCACCTCGACCTAGACGAGGGCCGCCATGCCCAGGAGTGAAAATTTCCAAAAGAAACGCGGAGAACCGATCCCGGACCAGGGGGGGGCCACTTCTCGCTGAGTAGCGGGTTTCACCAGGGAGGTCGGTGACGCCCTGCACGGAGGCCATGCCCGGCAGGAGCGGGATCGGTGCCACCAGCCGTAAGGACGCTTGGCGCTGCTCCGGAGCCGTGCGGCGCGGCAAGGCCGTCAAGCGTCTGGATATCGCATTCCCGTCTTAGGGGACCCACATCGCGAGGCGGACGCCCTTGGTCTGCTCCCACAGCTTGTCGTCCCCCTTTTCGGCCTTAGTCGCGAGCTCCCTGATGCGAGCCTGTCCAGCCCAGCATGGACGACCACGGAGTGGCCAACAGCTCCTCTGAAGCCACGGCCGTGTTGCGCATGAATTCAACCCCGTCCTGGCCCAGCTCCTTCCACAGAGGGAGGCGCGCGGCGCCATGACCACGGGGAGCTCTTCCAAACAGTGGGTGACCGCCGATTGAATGGCAGTTGCTGCGGCGGCTGCGTGGGCCTTGTCATCAGATGACCAGCTTGCTTTGGCTGAAATGCCGCACAAGAGCGACGCTGTGCGGCCCCTGGCGGTAACGATGGATTCAGTGGGGTCTGGACCCTCGAGAAGAGCCAGCCCCAGCCGGCGCCATGGATCCCCAGCCTCTGAATCTTAGGCCAGCCGCGTCAACATGCTCTTGAGGTCAATCCAATCGTTCGGGTACTTGATCGAAACCTGGGCGGAAGTGGGGTGTGCGATGGCGGACGCCTGCACGAAGTCCCAGTGCTGCAGAATGTCGCTCTCCACCCATTCTTGCAGGAGCCGATCAGAAATCGAGAACGTGGCCGAAGCAAGACCAGGAGGCTCGGTCATGGTCACTCCCTGCCGCGCTGCCCCCTCCTCGTGAACCTCAATGTCGTCGCCGTCGATGTCAAGGCGACTGGCGCCCTGGGTCAATCCGGTGTCGCCGACCGCCAGCGCCACGCCGTTACTGTACGCAGCACCGTGCGCCGCGCAGAACGTCGATCCGTGGACAGCCTCTCCCGCCACCCCGTGGCTCAGGCAAACCTGGCAAGGCGGCATGACGTCCCACCAACGAAATGTAGAGTCAGCATTGTATCCCGCTCAAGACGGCGGATAACGAAATCGATGGAGTACGAGATGAGCTGTCCCAGCCCGTTGCCCCATGGGTAGCAGGGACCCGTGAGGGTGTGCTATCCCGCCAGGCTGGAGCCAGGGACTATCGCTCGCGGGCCCCGCGCGCGCGGCGTGCGGCGTGCGGCTCTTGAGCCAATGATGATGATGATGATGATGACGACGACGACGACGACGATGATGATGATGATGATGATGATGAAGATGAAGCTGATGATGATGATGATGATGATGATGATGATGCTGATGATGATGATGATGATGATGATGAGATGACGACGACGACGACGACGATGATGATGATGATGATGATGATTATGATGATGATGATGATGATGATGATGATGATGATGATGATGATGATGATGATGATGATGATGATGATGATGATGATGACCTCGAGGCTCGTCGGCCGGGCGTCGCCGGCGCAGGCGGCGCTGGGCCCGCTCAGCTGGACGGGCGTCGCCAGCGCAGGAGGCGAGTCGATCCGCCCCTTCTCGGGCGGCGCTGGATCGGGCGGCGCCTCTGGGGGATGGGCAGGGAGCAGGAGGAAGAGGAGGAGGAGGAGGAGGAGGAGGAGGAGGAGGAGGAGGAGGAGGAGAAAGAGGAGGCCTAGACATGCATGCACCGTGAAAAATGACGACGGGCAAGTTTTGGCCGTTTTCGGCTTCTGGGGGCCCTTGCAGGGCCTCGACACCGTCAAAAACGATTCGTGATGAAAGCCTGGCCCTGGAGAAGGGTCGGGAAGTCTGGGGACCCCGTACGCAAAAAAACATGACGTCGGATGTATGGGGATCAGGACGGAGGGTTGAAAACGAGGATGTGGGACTGGCCTGCCGCCCCGAGCGTCGACGCCAGAAGAGACCCAACGGACGGCGTCGTTCGATGATTTCTTCAATCGCCAACTCTTGCAATGAAGCGCGTCGTGCCTGGGAGAGCGGGCGATGACGATGTGTGGACATCCCCTTTGGCCAAACCAGCCAGACATGCGAAGCACACACAACGGGAGCAGGGTATCCAGGAGATCGCACCGAGAATCACCCTCAGCCTCCGCGGCCGACTCTCCGACAACGTGGGCATGATTGCGTTGATCTCTCTCCTGGGGGGGTGCTATTTCCGCCGCCAACTGCTGGGGCTTACGCTTGCGGAGCCGCTTCTCCTTCTCCTCTTCCTCCTCCTCCTCCAGCTCCTCCTCCTCCTCCTCCTCCTCATCCTCCGCCTCCTCATCGTGACCGCCACCACTACCACCACCACCACCACCACCGCCACCACCACCGCCACCACCACCACCATCATCATCAGCAGCATCATCACCACCATCATCATCACCCACCTCCACCACCACCACCATCACCATCTCCATTATCATCATCATCAGCAGCATCATCATCACCACCGTCCTCATCATCACCACCACCACCACAACCACCACCACCACCATCATCATCATCATCATCAGCATCATCATCACCATCATCATCATCAGTCGCACCATCATCATCAGCACCATCACTATCAGCATCATCAAAGTCGTCATCATCCTCATCATCACCGTCAGCATACCCACCAGATCCTTCCATCCATCCATCCATCCACCAATCCATCGATCCATCACCACCACCACCACGGCCACCACTACCACTACCAGCATCACCATCATTCTTACACGCACCTCTCGTCGCCGCCGTCACGCTGCTCTCGTCGCCGTCCTCCTCCTCCTCCTCCTCTGTCAGTGGAGCGTGCTTTCCACGGATCTTAGGCCTTCGCTTCGAGATGTCCTCAAAATCTGAGATGGCTCTGAACCGATGTCCAAGAACGTGTCCTAAAGACGAGTCCCAGACACTCTCAAGGTCGGCGGAGGGCACGCAGTGGCTGAAGATTGGCAGGATGTCGAGAAGAGAAAACAACTACTCCGTTTAAGTAATCAATCCAGGATGTCGCGTCTGGTTCCCCTGAGCTTCGGACCGAGGTGAGATACTGTAATCACCACTCAGGCTAGCACACGGCTCGTGCCAAAGTTGCTATGGACGAAACTGGCAGTTGGGCTCATTCACTGAAGGTTGTCATCCCTCTCTGTTCTTCTGAAACTGTTTCACTGTCCTCAACAACTGAAGCTGGCATGCCCCGAACCGTCAGTGGGAGTCCTCAGTCTTAGCTCAGGTAAGGCACTCCATGTGTAGTCCATCGTGTCTAACTCCATCTATATTGGGGCGTCGCGTCTTCCATCATCAGACGTCGTGCCTCTGGGTGTCGGTAGTCTGCCGTGATCTCCGACTCCGTCTCGATCTCCAAGTCATCCGGATATAGTTGCCACGCATCATATTCATCCACTGCGAAGAACGTCTCCTGGTCGAGGGCGTCCATGCCTTTCTTCTTTCTGGCCTTCTCCGAAATGAAGTTCGCGTCGTAGATCAGCTTCCAGCTTCCTCTTTGCTGCCGCAAGTTGTAGCTCGCCCTCGCCTTCTCGGAGTACTTCGTCATGCAGTCGCTTAGCTGCGCGCCACTGTGACACCACCTCAACGAAGTTGCTGTCGCCGCCATGCCTCTTTTCAGAGCCAAGGCCTCCAGTGCACTCCTCTTGTCCTTCATGCCCAGCGCGCTGCTCTCCGACTTGTCAAGCGCGTCGAACACGCCACGGCAGTCCAGTACTAGGGCTCCTGGAATCTTCGCACATCCGGTCGCCCACTGCTTCGGAGGTGTCGGTCCCAGTAGAAGTTCGCTCAGCACCAGTCGGCAGAATTCGAGCTCCTCCCACGCCTCGCTTGCCGCTTGTATCTCTGCCGCACTCGAACTCCGGCACGCTCGAGGTAACTTTGCTGACGCCCACGCTATTAGTGAAATCGGGCCTTCCTTATTCTGCATCAGGCTGTAGTCCGTCATGAAGATCAGGAAGCCCCCCTGCGACGAACCATCTCGTCGAACATTCCAGGCGGCATCCGAATGCCCAACGATACAAGGGTTGAGATGCTTCTCCATGATCAGCTCCTTCTGGACCTCTATCTTCGCTCTCCGAATCAGCTTGTTGGCCTGCAAGAGCGCGTTGATGGTGGCCGTGTTCGTGTACGCTAGTAGCAAGGACAGCTCTGCACATATCAGAGGTACTCCTTGAGTCGCCAACCACATACGTTGTCCTAGGACTGCTCGAAATTGGGTGGCCTCGCTCGAAATAACCGTTGACTCGATGTCCTTGCGGCGCTGCGTCGGTATGTCGATATCCTTCAGCTCCTGCGCGTAGTCGACCATGTTGAGATGAGTGCGTCCCCCAGTCTTAGTACGGCCGTCATGCCCCTGTCTGATCCTGGCACCACACTGCACAAAGTCTTGAGTCACCCAGCTGCCCCACTCGTAGGCTTGATGAAGTCGTTGAAGCGCGTCCGCGGCAAACTTAGATGCGTTGTCGATAGCAATCATGAAGTCGTCCACGTGAGCTACTGCCAAGCCGCACAACGTATCATTCTTGTCGCGGAGATTCCATAAGCACGGCTCGGTAATGGACTCGACCCACCCAAGCTTCTCCATGTCCTTCCTCACTCGTGATTATCAACGTCTTGGCGCGTTCACCAGGCCGTGGACTGCCTTCTTCAGCTTGATGCACTGATGGTGTTCCAGCCGCATTGCTTCCCGCAGTTCCTTCACGGGCTCTGCCAGAACGTTGCGATCTTCTTCTCCTAGATCCCCTTGGAGAAACGCGGCCTTGACGTCGCCCTTGAACACCTGGAGCCCCATCGACGCCGCGACCCCCAAGAACATCTGTCTCGCTCTGCGGCTGCGCGTTGGTGATGCGGTCTTGATCTGGCCAGGGCTGGGATCGGTGTACCCTAGTGCGACGACTCGGGCTTTCAGGTCCCCCGATTCCTTTCGAGTGATGACCCAGCGCATCTTCATCGGGGCTCCGGGATGCACTCCTGCAGAGCTCGCCGCCTCGCAGACCTTGTACTTCATGAACGACTTGATCTCGTTACTCTTTGCTGCTGGCTGTTGAGCTCTTTCTTCCGGAATCAAGTTCTTGAACTTCACTTCTACTTTATTCTGCTTCACCAAGGCTGCAAGGGCTTTCTCCGGTTTCTGGTGCAGCAGGTTCACGTCGTTCTCCTCCATCTCGAATGCCACTGTGACTGCCAGTGCTGAAGCTTCTTCTCCGACGTGACCTATCAGATCCTCCTTTCGTAACTTCTTGGTGGATTCCCAGGGGGCCTTCCATTCTTCTGGTTATCCTCCTTCGGGTTCCTCTCGCAGAGTACCTTGCAGCGCAACGAACGGTACCTTCTTGTTGAGCTCTGCCAGATAGCCTAGGAAGTCGGCTCGCTGACGTTTTACCTCACGATCATCAGGAGGTTCTGTACTGGCTTCGCGCTTATTGATTCCTTCCGGTGGTGGCTCGCTGTCCCATTGAGCTGGTCGAGCTGGTCGTGCAGATGGGTGTTCGCCATCCTCCTTTTCGTCTCGATATGCCTCACCTCCGTTCTCTTCATCTCCTTGACGAGGTCCTGGTGGATATTCCTCTTCTTCGTGGTGACCTACCTCGGCTTGGGCGGCTGGTTCGTGATCTACTGGCGGTGCGCGTCCAGGTTGCTCGTCTGCTTCGCCTTCTGGTATGTCGCCCCATTCGTCAGGTCCGGCTTGGTCCACTATGTCGTCGAACGAGCCCCTGGTGAGTTCCTGCACCATCTTCCTGAAATGATCTGAACTTCCCGCTGAGATGTTCTCCAGCGTCTGCTCTGCCTTCGTAGTAGTACGTAGGTGTGCTGAAGCAGCTCGTACCAGGCGATCACCATCTACCAACCAGACTATTCCTCTGCGCTCGCAAGCTCCATTCTTAATGTCGCGCTCTTGCATGAGTACGGTAGCTGGCCCGTGAAATCGCCCAGCCATGCCCTGTTTGGTCTTATGACTGCCCCCTTTGGAGCTTCGCCAATAGTGGGCCTTCTCGCCTGGCTCCCACGTCTTGAACGGCCGCGTCTCCGACAGCAGCGCCCTCTCTGTCTTCTCCGACAAGTAGTGGTCTACACGCGCCTTGTACGTGCCTTCTTGGCCGCGGTGAGGTCCTGGAAGTTCTCGTCGATCAGGTGAGTGCTGAGCACCGAGGGGTCATCTTCGTCTTCCAGACCTTGCCCCGACGGGGTACGACCCATCATCAGCATGAACGGACTGTATCCTTTGTGACACATCAGGTCGTTGTTCGCTGCACATGCCCACGTGAAGATCTCGTTCGGGTCGGTGTCGTCTGGGAGCCCCCACGCGATGCGCTTCGCAATCTCTTTAATCGTCTCGATGCTCCTCTCGATCACGCCCGTCCTCCAGTGCGCTTGACCCGGTTCCGGTCGCCACTCGATGCCGTTGCCTGACATCCATGCGCGGTGCTCAGCTTGGCTAAAACAACCTTCAGGATCTGTGCGGAGTACCTCTGGTTTACCATAGTGCTGAATCCACGTGGTGAGAACCATCTCCTTCATCTCCTTGGCAATGGTATTGCCGCAGCTCTCCAGCACGTCCTTCTTGGTGAGGATCTGGCATTTGACGAAGCGGCTTCCGTAATCTGCGCATTGCGCTCCACGAGCATGATACGCTCTACGAGGACGAGCCCAGTAGAAGTTATCGCAGCCCAGCTCATTCCCCAGCGGCGCCACCGAAGGTTCTGAACTCGCAACCGGCCGAAGTTGCAAACGTTGAGCTGCCTTACAGGAGGGGCAGTCGTAGTGGCTGCACAGGTCGATGATCTTCTGATTGGTCTTCCTGCTGTCCAGGGCTGCCTCGGCTGTCCTCATGCTGCAGTGCCCGAAGTTGCGATGTACATGTGCTATGATAGCCTCCAGATCTCTGATCTCTCGCTTAGAGCACCCTCGTACGCTTTTCGGAAGTGGTAGTCGAAGGTTCCCTACTGAAAGAGCTTCACCTCCATCTTCGGGTCGAGCATCGCGCTCTTCTTTCCTGGCGCGAGTCTCTTCCCCCCTCGCTGAATCATCTCCTTCTGGTTCCTGTGGTACTTCTGCTGGTTCCAGGATTGGTCGCCTGTGTTCCCGTAGTTCTGGATCATCTGCGTCAGCTGGTCGCTTCGTGCCTTGCGGCAAACACTCCTTGTTCAAGCTCATTGCGTGCCTTCGCGAGAAAGCTTAGAGCATCGTCTGACGATGGTTTGATCATGAAGTACATGGCGATCTGCCTGCACATGTTCACGGGGTAGTTCGCTGAGAGTGCCGCTCGAGTGCTTCCTTCCGGAGGTAGATGAACATGAAGATTTTAGCAAACTCTCCCAACGTTCTCGTTGAACTTCTCGTCCGAGGTCGCGATGCACCACTCCTTCTTCAGCAACGCGCCTTCCTTCTCGTCCCTCATGTCGCACATGCATCCATGGATGATGGCGCCAAAGAGCTTATCCTTGATGTCCTTGAAGTTGCCCGTCCATGATCTGCACTTTCCTGGCTGCTCTAAATATATGTCACCGAAGTCCTCTTCTTTGAGCTTGTTGATCACCCACGGCAGGTTCCTCTGAATCCTCCTCGCCTTGATCAGCTTCATCTCGGACTCCTCGGCGATGGGATTCAGGTTCTGAAGTGGACATTTTGCCCCGCAAGGTGGTGAGAACCAGATCTTCCTCTGCCTCTTCTCCTTGAATATCTTCAGAAGCTTTTCGGCCCCGGTGCGCGTCGAGAAGTCGCAGCCGTTCCAGTTGCGAAACCTCTCGGCCTTGCCACCTATCTCCATCGCCGCCTTCGATAGCCTTGAGTCCGCTACACAAGTTACCTCTGCCAAGTTCAATCTCTCGTAGTTCTCCGCTGCGTCCCAGGCCAACTTCGGCATGTTATTCAGCGCTGTCACCGCTGCTAACGGAGCACTCCACATCTTCGGTTTCACACCGCGTGAAAGCCCCCGAACGGCCCCGGCGCCCCTGACGGCGTCGGCAGATCCTCCGGCACTGGGATGTTCCTGACGTCCTTGACGCCGCTGCTGCTGGTGGCCATCTCGGGTACCCCGAACCTCTCGCTGGCCCTGGGCTTCTCCACGGTCTCTCCCTCCACCTTGAACAGGTTGTAGTCCACATTCAACTTGTCGTGGAGACCTGGCGTGTCGATGAGGCCCTTCTGGGTGATCTCCTTGGCCAGCTTGGTGTGCTCCTCGTTCCTGATGGCCTGTCTCTCGTTCTCGATAATCTGCTGCACCTCGGTGTCCGCCAGCTTCCTGATGACCTCCGCTGACAGACGGCTTGGAAGTGGTCTGGCCGAAGTAGGCGTAGGCGCTCCGGTAGTTGGCTTCTCCGTCTCCGTCTCCGCGCTGCTCGATGATGAGTTCCACGTTGGGTTGCACGATGGTCGCGGTGGTACTTGGGCACGCCCCGTCGCCTCCAGCCTCTGGAAGTTCTCGCGGGACTTGGCACAGAGAGCCAACTGCCCGTTCTGCACCCGATTTAGCATGCATTTGAAGAGAGTCTCTCCGCAATCCCTGCACTTGACTTGTTCCATGACAGCGTTCGTCCCCTGGCGGGCCTGGTTGCGATGAATGCGCGACCTGGCCATCGACTGCCCCGACGAGGAAGCTGGCGTCGAGGGGCTCTGGCTGTGAACGCTGAGCCTGGGCCGAAACGCGCTTCGGAAAGACCGAGGTGCCTGCCCAATGATATACTTCTACTTGTCGCGCGCGTGCGAGATTTTGAAATCGATCGAGGGGCGATGCCCGTTCACCGTTTTCTCGAATCATATGGGTAAGCCGATCCCCGAGAAGTCCTCTCGACATGTTATCTCCGAAATCTCGAGGGCCACGCCGTTGGAATCGAACTCTCCGGCGTATCCGGCACAAGAAATCCGAAGACAATGCCCGTCTATACTTGGCCGTTCTCTTTCCTTCGATCCAGTTGGCGGTTTTCGCGAGGTAGCTAAGAATGGGATTCAGCATTTCTTCACATAGCTTCGGAAACTGATTTCTCAGGTCGAGGCTCAAGTCTAGAAGCTGCAAGAGTTCTTTCGGGAGGTCCTCGGCGTCATTTGGGCCCCTGGTGGTGGCGACGGTGGGTGGCGGCTTTTCCACAGTCCAGGCCGCGACCAGGGTGCTGTCCATATTCGCGGCTCGAGCTGGACCCCTGCTGACCCAAGTCGGTCAGGCTGATGGCTAAGTGCCCGGACGCGAGCACCTTCGTGATCAGCTCTTCCCTGGCTTGCGCGAGTAGACTGAGTTCCTACCGTAGTCGATCACCAGCCCATACTTCTTCAGCATGTCGATGCCCAGGAGAACTGGCGAAGGCCGATCCAACACGTAGATATCGATCTTCTTGTGGTCTAAGCTCTCGACCTCGAACGACACCCGGGATGGAGCGTCGGCTCGATCCCCTCCAGCGAAGGTGAATCCCAGGTTCTGGTCCACGTCGACCTCCATGGGCTTCTCGAGCTTCTCGCTGCTGTACTCCAGCTGTTCGGCGCCCCCCACCGACCTAGAGGCGCCTCCGTCCAGAAGTGCGTAGCCCTTGCACTCCTCCAGGCTGAACCCTACGAAGTCGTTCTCCTCTTCAGGGTTCCCTTGGGTCCTCTGGTCGTCATTCACGGCCCCGATGAACTCCGTTGGATCGTTCTCGTAGAGAGCACCCACGAAGCTGTTGAATGCTCGGCGTCGGTCTCCAGCTGCTCCTGCGTTGCCCCGATTGGGACAATTCTTAGCTCGACGTCCTCGCTCTCCACAGAGAAGACAGGTGTCGCGATCAATGGTCCTCGGGTTCGCCGTCGTGTTCTTCGTGCTGTCCTGCGCAGTGCCTTTTCCTTTGGGCTTACTCTTCTGTTGGTTCCTGTCCTTGCCTTTGCCCTTCCGTGGGGGTCCTCCACGGCTGACCGCGCGTCCTCGTCCAGCTCCAGGTTGTCCTGGTAGTGCGTCGTAGGCTCCAAGCCCTACCACAGGAAAGAAGCCCCTCGCGTTCTTCACCTCGTCGATGAATTGACGTGCCTCCTGGAACGTTCTGGACGCGGCATAGGCGGTCTCCGTCCAGTCGTCGAACTCCCCGCCTTCATTGGGCATCACGGCGGCTGCCAGTCCATCCTCGCCTGCTTCCTGTTCAGCTCTTTCTCCTGAGTCCGCGCCCGCGTACGAGATCAGGTCCTCTGCTGCTGTCATCGCCGTCTCGGTCAGGTCGCTGGCCTCTCCGAAAGCGTCCTTGTAGGCCCCCACGTACACTTCCTCAGCGTAGGCCGCCAGCTCCTCTGAGTCTTCGAAGATGGCGTGCACTCCTCTTCGAGCTTTGTAGATCTCGCGCCGCCAGTTGTTCGTCTGACCGCTGCTCTGCCAGCGCCTTCTTCACGTCGTTGTACATATATGAGTTGCCGCGCGCTCCTGACGTAGCCAGCACAGCCGTCTGCTCGGACGGATCAAGGCCCGTCCCGTCCAAGAGAATCAATCTCAGGATGAACTCGTGCATGAATCCTGTCGCTGGAATGTCGTCGCACACCGCGTGGAGGGCCTGCCCGATTTTGCTCAGGTGGATGTCGAATCTCGAAACCCACTTCTTCGGACCCTCTCCCGGGTTGCGGTAGACGCCTTTCATGAACTCTCTCCACTTCGTAACAGCCTCCTGCAGGGTGACAGTACCTCTGATGCCCTTCAGCGCTGATACCACCTGCTCGGCTCCGTCCTCTTTGATTAAGTCCTCTGTCGCGACCTTCTTGGCCTCGCGCCACTGTTGTGAGTCCTCGTCCATGGCCTGCAGCAGGCGTGGCCCTAAGTAGATGCGCTCCTCCTTCTTTGTGCCCAGGACCCACAGCTGTACCTTCTCTTCGAAACTCTCGAGAACCGACGCTTCCCCATTCCACGTCGGTATCTTGAGGCCTCTTCCATTCTCATTCGCCATCTTGAACTTGGATATCGAGTTGTGAATATTGAAGTGGGCTGCCACTTCGTCTCGCTACCAATGTCAGTGGAGCGTGCTTCCCACGGATCTCAGCCTTTCGCTTCGAGATGTCCTCACAAACTGAGAGGGTTCTGAACCTATGTCCACGAACGTGTCCCAAAGACGAGTCCCAGATACTCTCAAGGTCGGCGGAGGGCACGTAGTGGCTGAAGATTGGCAGGATGTCGAGAAGAGAAAACATATACTCCGCTTAAGTAATCAATCCAGGATGTCGCGTCTGGTCCCCCTGAGTTTCGGACCGAGGTGAGATACTGCAATCACCACTCAGGCTAGCAAACGGCTCGTGCCAAAGTTGCGATGGACGAAACAGGCAGTTGGGCTCATTCGCTGAGGGTTGTCATCCCTCTCTGTTCTTCTGAAACTGGTTCACTGTCCTCAACAACTGAAATTGACATCCTCCTCCTCCTCCTCCTCCTCCTCTTCCGTTTCCTCCTGGTGGGGGTGCCCTCCCTGGAGGCCTTGATGCCGTCCAGCTGCTCAGCCAGCAGCTCGTCCAGCAGCCCAGTCAGGCCAGCCCCCAAGCTGTCGACCATCGCGCGGGGCGGGGGCGACTCGCGGTGGACAAGCCGCTCTTGGGACAGACAAATAACGATACCGTTCATCCCCGAGCCTCTCCCAGAGTGTGTGTACTGACCAGAATGTCGAGGCGAATCCAGCCGTGTCGACGAGGGCTTCGCAAGAGACCCAGAAGGCGAAAACGAGGCGAGCGTAGCGTATAGCGGTATCGGCACGTTGTCCTCCTCTGAGCTCTGGGCGGCCAGACCTCTGGCGGTCCATACAGGAGGGGCCAACAGTGGATGAAGAACGAAGTGCGTACACATACATAAACTCTCTGAGCTCCGCGAGGATTGCGTAGATCGGCGCTGGACCCCCAACCCTGGCGCGCGGAGCGCGCCAGGGGCGGCGCCAGAGGAGCCGCCAGGGTGGGCCCAGCCGACGACCCAAGAAATCCGCGCGGAGACCTGACAGTTTACCGTTATGCAGTCTGCTCTTCCCTTCGGTGGCGTGGAAGCGGCTTGGAGCCGCAATGGCGCCTGCTTGCTCTTCGTTCGCTTCCTCTCTTTCTCTCCGTCGCCGAGCAGCTCTGACTGCCGGGAGCCAGCGGCGGACCCTCGTCTAGTGTGCACTCCAGGGGCTACCTCGTTGCACTCCAGGGGCTGCCTCGTTGCATGCACAGCTTTGCGTTGCTTCGCATTGCAGTTTTGCCTTCTCCGAGAGAGGGCGGCCAACTCTTCGAGGAGCCCTGGGGCCTCAGGGAGGTCCGCCTCGGGCTCCAAGGGAGGGCCTCTCCAGAGGCAGCCCGCGGAGCGGGATACCAGCGCGCGGGTGTCACGGGGGAAGAAGCCCCTCGGGACAGGCGTCTCCTGGAAATGCGCGGGAGGATGGTGGGAAGGAGGGGAGAGTTTGTGGGCAACTCCTGGGGGGCCTTCGTAAGCCTTCGTAAGAATGATGAAGGGATCATCAGCCCGATTCGGTAGGGTGGAGTTGGGAGGCAATTCCTGGGAGGCCTTCGCAAGCCCTTGCAAGAAAGATCAAGGGATCATCCGCCAGATTCGGGTGCCATTAAGCGGAGTTAGAAAAATCATTATCCCGGGTCAGGCATACCAACGCCGACGCTGAACTTAACCCCCAGGAGTTGCATGTTAAGGGGTAAGACAGGGGGAGGGAGGGAGCGGGGGAGGGATCGAGGGAGGCGGGACGCATTGAGAGAAAGCAGAGGGCCGTCGGAGGTGCAGGCAAGCACCAGGGGCGGCGACTGACAGTCACGCCAGACCTGGCCAGGCCAAGCGGCGGTCGAAGCGCCAGAGTGGTGTATCCGAGCTGCCGCTTGGCTTGCCTAAGGCCTGCTTGGCCGCTTTCGCCCACCCACGATCCTGGACAGGTATGTCCACCGCAAAAGCTGTCCGCAAACAACGGCCATACACCACCACCGCCATCGCTGGCCAGGGCCATTCAGGGCCCCAGGATGGAGCATGGACCCCCATGTCGAGGCCACAAGTATACATGCATGCATATGCACATGCACACACACACACATATATACATATATATATATATATATATATATATAAGCATGCTTACGATCATATGTACATGTATGTAGCGTACGCCAATCCAAGGCCCAGGACGGCCCTGGCCAGGGATGGTCGCCGTGTATGGCCGCCCTCTGTGGAGGCCAACTGGGGAGGGGAAGCGGCGGAGACGGCGGAGGCGAGGCGAGCCGCCGCCGCCGCCGGGACGGGCGCGGACTGGGGCGCACGGGCGCCAGAGGAGTTGCCGAGGGCCACAGGTTACCCTGCGGCTGGCCATCGGGGGCGCGGGTGTGACCGCGGCTGGCGCCACATGGGGCAACGAGGGCAGCGACGATGAGGGCAGCCGCAGCCACGACGACGACGACGACGGCGGAGACGTCACGTAAGAGGCGGAGGCGAAAGGATGGTGCGAATGATAGTGATGATGATGATGATGATGATGATGCTGATGCTGATGCTGATGCTGATGATGATGATGATGACGATGATGATGATGATGATGATGATGATGATGATGCTGATGATGATGATGATGATGATGATGATGATGATGACGATGATGATGATGACGATGACGATGACGATGATGATGATGGTGGTGATGATGAAGATGATGATGATGATGATGACGACGACGACGACGGCGAAACCGATACTGATGATGATGACGATGACGATGACGATTATCATGACGATGCTGATAATGATGATGATGATGATGACGATGATGATGATGATACTGATGATGATGATGATGATGATGATGATGGTGGTGATGATGATGGTGGTATTGATGATGATGGTGATGATGCTGCTGATGATGATGACGATGGCGCTGATGATAATGCTTATGATGATGTTGATGATGATGGTTTTGATGATGGTGCTGATGATGATGCTGATGATGATGCTGATGCTGATGCTGCTGCTGCTGCTGATGACGATGATGATGATGATGATGATGATGATGATGATGATGATGATGATGATGATGATGATGACGGTGGTGGTGATGATGGTGGTGATGATGTACGTAGCACCCCGCAGTCGCGGATAAGAGTGAGGGGGCGGCGGGGACGTCGGCAGTCTGCGGGGACGTCCGCAGGTGCCTGATTTCTATTACTCATCCAACGAGCCCGCCGCAGGCGCCAATTTTATGCTAAAGCAATATGGGTGGGTCGCGGCGTGGGTCGCGGGTGGGTCGCGGGTGGGTCGCGGGTGGGTCGCTGGCTGGGTCGCGGGTGGGTCGCGGGTGGGTCGCGGGTCGGTCGCGGGTGGGTCGCGGATGGGTCGCGGTGTGGGTCGCGGGATGGGTCGTGGGTGGGTCGCGGGGAGGGTCGCGGGAAGGTCGCGGGGTGGGTCGCGGGTTGGTCGCGGGCCGGGTCGCGGGGGGGACGACGCTAAACAACGACAATATTGACACGTGACCTTGTTGCCCGTTCTCCGGGAAACTTGGTCAATGCTTGTCCTGAAAGGACAACCGGTGACCTTGCCTCCCGAGGGTACGCACCCCCCCCGGCAACCAGCAACCAACAACCTCGGGCTCCATTCGTCGCTCCGCTGTATCTTCGCTTGCTTAAGGGTTTGAACTCCTCCTTCATGCAATGTTTCCATGTCTGCACCAGCGAGGCTCCGGAATCTATCGGCTCCAACCTGATCCTATAGAACCTTATAGGAATCCTATGGGGTTCCTATAGGGATCATATACGGATCCTGTGCGATACTATGGGACCCTATAGGGATCCTCTAGGATCCTGTGGGGAGTCTATAGGGATCCCATGCGATCCTGCAGGATCCTATGGGAATCGCTGAGGGATTGTATCGGAATCCCGTCCGATCCTATAGCATCCTATGGGATTCGTAAAGGGATCGAATGGAAATCCCAAGGGACCCTATAGCACCCCATGGGAATCGTAAAGAGATTATATAGGAATCCCATGCGATCCGATGGGATCCTATAGGAATCGTATAGAGATTGTATAGAAGTTCCATGCGATCCTATGGGGTCCTATAGGAATCGTATAGGGAGTATAGGAATCCCATGCGATCATCTAGGGTCCTGTGGGAATCGTATAGGGATTGTGTCGGAATCGTGAAGACATTGTAGAGGATTCACATGCGATCCTATAGGATCCTGTGGGAATCGTATACAGTCCTATAAGAATCGTAGAAGGACTGTATAGAAATCCCGTGCGACCCTACAGGATCCTATGGGATAGAGATTGTATCGGGATCCCATGCGATCCTATAGGATCCGATGGGGTTTTTATAAGGATTGTTTTGGAATCCCATGCGATCCTATGGGATCCGATAGGAATGTTTAGGGAATGAAACAAGAACCCATGATATCCTATAGGACCCTCTAAAAATCGTACAAGGATTGTATAATAATCCCACGCGATCTTGTAGGATCCAATGGGGATCGTATAGGGACTGTATAGGAATCCCAAGCGATCATATGGGATCCTATGGGCAGCGTATGAGATCGTATAATAATCGAATGCGGTCCTATAGGACCCCATGGGAATCACATGGGGATTGTATAGGAATCCCATGCGACCCTGTCGGATCCTATGGGATTCGTATAGGGAATGTATGGGAATCCAATGTGATCCTACAGGATCTTGTAGGAACCGTATCGGGATTGTATAGGGATCCCATGCGATCGTATAGGACCCTACAAGAATCGTATAGGATCCAAAATGAAAGGAAACAAATATTGAAAAAGGAATCCCGTACGATCATATAGGATCCTGTGGGAGTCGTGAACCATCCTATAGGAATCGTATGGGAATTAAAACAGAAACCCATGCGATCCTATAGGATCCCATGGGAATTGTATCAATTTTGTATAGGAATCCCATGCGATCATCTTGGGTCATATGGGATTCGTGTAGGGATTGTTTAAGGGTCGTGTAAGAATCCCATGCGATCCTATAGCATCCTATAGGAATCGTGTAGGGACTGTATAGGAATCCAATGCGATCCTGTAGAATCCGATGGGAATCGTATAAGGATTGTGTGGGAATCCCATGCGATCTTATAGGATCATATAAGCATAGTGTAGGGATTGTATGGGAATCCCACGCGATCCTATAGGATCCTATAGGAATCGTATAAGGATTGTATAGAAATCCCATGCGACCCCCATGGGATCCTATAGGGATCGCATAGGGATTGTATAAGAATCCCACGCGAACCTTCGGTGGTGCCCCCTGTGAGGCCAAGGCCACGATCCTCGAGAGGGGCGTGCTGAAATTGACTTTTTGTTGCCGGTTGCCGGGGGGGGGGGGGGCGGGCAACGCGGCCACGTGTCAACCAACAACACCAACAACAACAATAATTTGAAGACTGTTCGCTCATATATGTTCGAATGTCCGTTAACGCGTATTTCCCAAAACCTCGGTGCCCGCCCTCCTCGTCCTCGGTCGTGCCCCTCTTGGGGGGTATACCTTTCTTCCCTGCAGGCCGGGCCGCGGCAAGCGGCGGGGCGGCCGCGGGCCGTCGGCGTGGCCAGCGGCAGCGTTGATCGGCGGCAACCCGACCCCAAGAGGGGCGGACAGGAGGCCAACCACGACGTCGACGATGACGACGACGACGACGGCGACGACGAGCGAAAGCGAGAGCGAGAGAGAAGAGAGAGAGAGAGAGAGAGAGAGAGAGAGAGAGAGAGAGAGAGAGATATAGAGAGAGAGAGAGAGAGAGAGAGAGAGAGAAAACGACAGCAGGGCCACGAAGGGCACGAAGTAAGCCACGAAGGGCGACAGCGGGGACAGGAAGGGAGTGCGCATGGGGCCACGAAAAACGCGAACGAGCGGGGGCCACGAAGGGCAGATCATGCGGGGCCACAAAAGGCAACGACGGGGCCATTGAGGGCAGCAACTGGGCCACGTAGGACAACGAGGAGGCCGCGAAGGGCGGCGGCGGGGCCACGAAGGGCGCGCGCGTGGGGCCGCGACGGGCGCGAACGAGCGGGGGCCACGAAGGGCATGCGCATCTTGGGCCGCGGAGGGCAAGGACGGGGCCACTGAGGGCAGCAACGCGGCCACGAAGGGCAGCGATGGGGGCCGCGAAGGGCAACAGCGGGGCCACGAATGGCATGCGCGTGGGGCCACGGCGGGCGCGAACGAACGGGGGCCGCGAATGGCATATATATATATATATGTATATATGTGTATATATATATATATAGATAGAGAGAGAGGGAGAGAGAGAGAGAGAGAGAGAGAGAGAAAGAGAGAGAGAGAGAGAGAGAGAGAAAAGAAAAAAGAGAGAGAGAGAGAGAGAGAGAGAGAGAGAAAAGAAAAAAGAGAGAGAAAGAGAGAGAGAGAGAGAGAGAGAGAGAGCGCGATATACGAGGCGGCCACCCAGGGCTGCAACGGGGCCACGAAGGGCAGCGAGGGGGCAACGAAGGGCTGCAACGGGGCCACGAAGGGCTGCAACGTGGCCGCGAGGGGCTGCAACGGGGCCGCGAAGAGCAGCGAAGGGGCCGCGAAGGGCTGCAACGGGGTCACGAAGGGCTGCAACGGGGCCACGAAGAGCAGCGAGGGGGCAACGAAGGGCTGCAACGGAACCGCGAAACAAAGCGAGGGGGCCACGAAGGGCTGCAACGGGGCCACGAAACAAAGCAAGGGGACCACGAAGGGCTGCAACGGGTCCACGAAACAAAGCGAGGGGGCCACGAAGGGCTGCCACGTGGCCACGAGGGGCAGCGAGGGGGCCACGAAGGGCATGAAACAGGGCCACGAAGGGTAGCGATTGGGGCCACGAAGGGCTGCAACGGGCCACGAAGGGCAGCAAGGAGGCAACGAAGGGCTGCAACGGGGCCACGAAGGGCAGAGAGATGGTCGCGTTCGACTTTTTTTATTTACCAAATCACTTTTTAAAAATAAAAAACGTTAAGATTTTTCTCGTCAGCATGGACTTTCTCGTCGTCGACGCTGCGAAACATGCAGCAGGAATGGGGCGCGTCGCGCGTCGCGCGCGGGCGCCGGGCCAACCCTGCGCGGGGCCCCCCGTCCTACCTGTCAAAACAAACACAGCAACGTCGACGTTTTCTTGCCAACATGCACATTCTCCTCGTCGGCGCTGCGAATCGCGCAGCGGGAATGGGGCGCCCCACGAATTCCCAAGAGGCAGTTTCCTCTTCCTCCTCAGTTTCTCCCTCCCCCCCTCTCTCCCTCCCCTCCCCTCCCCTCCTCCTCCTCCTCCTCCTCCTCCACCTCCTCCTCCCCCCCCCCCCCCCTCCTCCTGGCTCAAGCCATTTTGGCTCAAGCCATTTTGGCTCAAGCCGTTCTGGCACAGGCCTACCGTGGGCAGGTGGCGCCTGCTATCT